ATCTTAGTGGATTTTGCGACATGCAGTAAGACCCACCAAGTGTTTGGTTCCTATGACGACGGGTCCTCTGCCTGTTTAAATCTGGAATCTCAGGATTTTTTTCTGTGAATATTTGTAAGAAGTGCTCTCTCTGATTCTGTAGTGTAGGCACAGCCTTTGGGCTGGGAAAGGTCACAGCAGACCGCCTATCGCCCCTTTCCTGTTCACAGCCTGATGGGCCAATAGCAGGCTTGATGCAGGATGGTAGATTTAGCCTACTTCCTTCCTGCTGTTCTGAATGGAGAATGAAATGAGCGACTCCCAAGATCCCCCGAGGAGCCATCCCCATGTCTCAAGGCTCCCTTTTGTGTCTTTTATCCTGAGATAATGGAGTTGCAGAAGTGTAATAACTCGACAGTAAAATATTAACCTCTAAAGGCAGCTTTCCCAAGATGACATTTTACAAGCTGTTTTACACACGCTGGAAGATGAACGTGACGTAGCTCAGTCTTTTTCTGATCTTCATGCTCCTGGCCTCTGCTCTTCTTACATGAGGATAGATAGCACTTGGTTTCCTATGCTCCTCTTGGGGCTCAGAGAGCCCTGAAGGTGTCGTTTCGGTGAATGATGGGGGCTGGAGAATTGGCTGAGCAGTTAGAAGCACTTGCTGCTCTTGCAGAGGACTTGGGTTCAGCTCCTAGCACCCACATGGCAGCTCACAACCATCTGTTGCTCCAGTTCCAGGGGATCTGATGCCCTCTTCTGGCCTCTGCAGGCACTGCACCCAAATGGTACACCCCTATACATGTAGTTAAAACACCCATACACATAATACTTTTTTTTTTTTTTAAAGATAGATGAATGATGGGAGTGGGAACTTGGATTTTACACTGCTGTGTCTTCTCTACCTAACAGGTACTTATTCCATGTTGAAATCTCAGTTCCTAGTCAGATGGTCATACTGAGTACTGGAATTCCAAGGTCATAATGTTCATCAGCTTCGAGTCCCCATGCTTCAAGCCCTGTGTCCTTTCCTGATCTGTTTACATCCACGATATATGGAATGAATTTCATTTATTTTTATCATATCGTGTGTGCGTGTGTGTGTGTGTGTGTGTGTGTGTGTGTGTGCACATACACGCATGCATGTGTGTGTGTGTGTGTGTGTGTGTATGAGGTTGAATATAGTTGTGTGCAGGTGCGCGCCCATCATTCCTCAGGTGCCGTCCAACTTGTTTTTGAGACAAGGTCTCTCATTGGCCTGGAATTTGACAAGGAGGCTAGACTTTGCTCTCAGATCCTCCTGTCTCCACCTTCTCCATACTGGAGTTACCGGCATGTGCCACAATGCTTTTATTATTTTATTCTATATTTTTAAGTGTGGATTCTGTGTTAAACTCACTTCCTCACACTTGTGTAACAAGCACTGTAGGCCTGAGCTGACTGACCAGCCTGACTTTCACATTTCCTTATGCCTTAGCAGGAGAGCCTTGCTGACTCACCCGCCCATCCCTTCTTAGGTAGGCACGCGTTATGACACTCTGGATGCAAGGGATGCCAGGAGCAACAGCTGTGACATAGTCACACCTTAAGAATCCTCCGCATCCTGTGCTGTGTTGGGGACAGAGTAGTGAGTATGTGTCCCAGCAAAACCACCAAGGGCATTTTGAGAGTGTTTAGCATTGCAAGGTGAATGCAGGTGCTCAGCGTGGCAGCTGTTACCTTTTCCTGGCTGAGCCCTCCTGTTCTTCCCCCACCCTATTCCGAGATGGAATCTCTCACTGGCCTGGAACTTGCCAAGTAGGTTAGTTTGGCTGGCCAGCAAGCCCCAGGAATTCACCTTTCTCTTCCTCCACAGCTCTGGGATTATGAGTATATGCTATCACACTTAACTAGTTTCTTTTTTTTAAACTTTATTTATATTTAATTTTCTGCGTATGTATAGTTTGCCCTCATGCATATATGTGCACCATATGTGTGCAGTGCCCATGGAGGCCAGAAGGAGGTGTCAGATTCCCTGGATTTGGACTACAGATGGTTGTGGGCCTCCATATGGGTGCTTCGAACTTAATATGAGTCCTCTAGAAGAACAGCCAGAGCTCTTAACCATGAAACCATCTCTCTAGCTTATCTTTTTTTTTCATGTTGTAAACTGTAAATTCTGGGGATTGACCTTGGGTCTTCATCCTTGTAAGACAAATGCTTTCCTGACTGACCCATCTCCTCAGCCAAGTGATTTTATGTTCTTTTGTTTGTTTGTTTGTTTTTGTTTTATGAGACAGGGTTTCTCTGTGTAGTTTTGCGTCTTTCCTGGAACTCACTCTGTAGCCCAGGCTGGCCCCGAACTCACAGAGATCTACCTGCCTCTGCCTCCCGAGTGCTGGGATGGAAGTCATGTGCCACCACCGCCCGGCTGTGATTTACATTCTTAAGATGGAGGTTCCCAGAGCCAACACGTCCCTGACATTTGCATGCAGCCAGAGTGATTTGAGGTGGGATTTGGTGTGGGTCCATACCGGCCGACAAGGAAGGTCAGTGATCACAAGCACAGGAGAGCTGAGGTCTGAGTTCTAGGACGGCATATTGAGAAAGTTCTGGAAATGGGTGACCAGTCTTGGAGGCAGGAGGAAGGTGACAGTTAAAGTCTCTGTGTCGGCTTTGGCTCGGCTTCAGGTAGGATGCCCTGTTCTCTAGGGGTAGAGTGAGCAGAGTCCAGGGCAGGTCATGACCTCTTGAAACTCAGCTTCTCCCAGCTCAGTGCTCATACAGAAGGGGAGGGCTTTTCGTGACAGGCTTCAATCCTTCCCTGAGAATCTCATGAATGGGAGTCAGATTCTGCATTGTGGGCACTATGGAATATAAGAGCTCGGTCCTATGTCCTGCCCCGAGTAGAAGCTGCCTTCCAATTGTTCTCTTCATGGTTCTGGGCTCAACAGCACATGCTTAAGTCCCTCCCACATGCCCTGAAAGACAGGCGGCTTTCTTGGCTCATTGTTGTATTTCTCCCTTTTAAAACAGCAAGGCTGGAAAGAGTATTCTTCTTTCTAGAGTTGGGAAATTAGGAGAATGGGCCCCGTTTTAACCCCTCACTGGGATTGTAATGTCAAGGGAGACATCAGCCGCCACTGTCATTGCTGCCTTTTAAGAATATTGTTCTTTTAGTTGTATAGATTTGTGGGCAAGTGTATGGTGATTCTACACTTGTGTGCAGTGTGCAATGGTCGGATGAGAGCTTCCAACATTTCCACCTCCTTAAACGTTTAAAAAATTAATTCATGCCAGGCGCTGGTGGCGCACGCATTTTATCCCAGCGCTAGGGAGGCAGAGGCTGGAGGATCTCTGTGAGTTCGAGGCCAGCCTGGTCTACAGAGCAAATTCCGGGACAGCCAAGGCTACACTGAGAAACTCTGTCTCAAAAACAAAACAAAACAAAACAAAAGAAAACAAAAAACCCAACCAAATAAGGAAGTAAATAAATAAATAAATAACTCACACATAATAGTCGTGTGTGTGTGTGTGTGTGTGTGTGTGTGTGTGTGTGTGTGTTAGGGTAGGGTACCCCAATATAAATCCAATAACTCCATTTGTATCTTCTATAATTGCCCTGTGGTTGGAGCCTGCAAGTTCCTTTCTTTTAAATACTCATGAAATATATAACAGGTTATTTGAACTACAGTACTTTAGCTGTTCTGCGTAAGAGTGGGGTTTAGTGCTCATATTCAGGTGTGTTCTGCCACACAATGTCTAACCTCCCATCATCTCCATCTCTGAGTAACTGAAGCCCGGTCGGAAGCCCCTTTCCTTCTCGGTTAGCTGTTAGCCATCTGATGTCCCCTTCTCTCCATGACCTCCTACTCTGTACAGCAAATCTGTCCCAAGCTGATTGGGGGGGGGGCGTTTGGGGATGGATTTTATTATAGTTGAGTTTTAAAGTTCCTAGATATCATTCCTTCGACAGATTCATAATTTGCACATGGGGCTGGAGAGACAGTTGAGTTGGTGAAGAGCTTACCCCCTAAACCCAATGACCTGAGTTCAGTCCTCAGCATCCATACAGAGAACCAGACATGGTGGCATTATGCTTGTGAGCCAAACTCTGGGGAGGCAGAGATGGGAAGATGTCAGAGGCTCCATGGCTAGACAGCCTCGCCAAGCCAGTGAGCTCTCTAGTGTAATGAGACACCCTGCCACAGAACGCAAGGTGAATGAATGGTCCCTGAGGAATGGAATGACACTTCAAGTTGACCTTTGACCTCACTCCTCAGTCCCTTCCCTTGAACGTCGCACAAAGACCCTTTCCTGATGGAGAACGAGACAGCGGCAGCGTTTTATTCGCTCTCGCCCAGGAGATGGGAAAGAAAGCAGGGGACTGACGTGTCTAGCCGAGACCCCCAGCGGTGGGTAAAGCAGAGCGCCTCCAAGTGCCGCGAAAGGAACCACTGTGAAATGCCACCTCCCTCTCTCCAGTGTCTGAAATTGCGGTTTAGTGTTTGCAGGATTAATTCCATCTGTGTTTCTAGTGCATTCCATGAGTGCTTAGCCTACCAGGATTTTAATCTAGGGCAGAGCCGTCTTGATTTTTTTTTTTTCCTTCAGTGGTGGCTTCGCTTTATGGCTGGAACAAAGCATTTTCTTTATAACATGAACACCTTTTATGCATCTTCAAATGTGGTATAAGAGTGGAATAAGATACACCTGGGGCTTGATTAGTGGTGGTTTGCGCCCATAAGAAAAGGTAAGATAAAGAAAACAGCGCACTCCCAAAAGGCAGCTGAGGTTTCACAACCCCATTAAATTATGTTTATGGTTTAACTTGTCAGTATTTTGTAACACAAAACTGCTTTCCTGGAGTCTATCTATCAGCTATTTGTCACTAATTAGTGCCTACAAATTACTCTTTGTACCCATCCTGCTCTTCGGGTGCCTTATAAATCAGAGCTGTCAAGGTCCATGAACTTCTGCTCGTGTGGCGTGTCTCTTGCTGATGCATCTCCGTGTTCTCGCTCTTCCCCCTCCCCCAGGTCTCCAACACCTGTGATTCTATCTTTGTGAATGGGAAGGAGATGAAGAGCAAAGTGGGCACCATCGTGAACTTCACCCACCAGCACTTCACCTCCCAGGTGGAGATCACCGTCTGGGTGCCCCGCCTGCCGCTGCAGATAGAGATCTCAGACACAGAGCTGAGCCAGATCAAGGGCTGGAGGATCCCGGTGGCCGCCAACAGGAGGTGAGGAACAGGAGGCGGGCTGTGGGTGAGAGGCTGCTGGGGCCCAGGTGTCTGTGGGAGGCAACATCTGAGGTGTGTTGCCATGGGCTGGGTTTGGCTTCCAGCAGTGCATGGCGGTGCTCTGGACTCCGGTTGCTGTGGCTCTGACTCGGATGATTACTGTTGGACATGAGGAAATTACATCAAAAACAATAGTAGCAATACCAGCGGTGCTATGGGGTAGCTTCACCGAGCAGTTTCTAGGATGCAGGAGAAGGTGATGTGAGAGTCTAAGAGGCACCTACACAAAGCCTGGCATTCGGAACATAGCTACTTCCCACTGCCTGCCATGTGACTGTCTGTTCCTTCATCACTCATTCTCTCTCCTCACTGTCAGTCATCACACATGGAATGAGGTGTCATGTGGTGAAGTCCACATGGTTGGAAATGAGACTTCCTGAGTTTTAACCTTGGTTCCTCCCGTGTACAGCCATGTGACCTGGCGACTTTCACTACATATTCTCCAGTTCCCTCAACTCCAAGTTGGGAGCAGCAGTATTATAAGAAATCTGAAGAGTCCAGTGAAATGATGTGTGCTGCAGTGGGAGGCCCTAAAGTCAAACTCCTCTCGAGGATCCCCATCTGCTGCTCATTCAGGTGTAGCGGTTTGAATGGGAATGTCTCCCACATGAATGAGACTGTCCCCCACAGGCTCATGTGTTTGAACACTAGGTCTCCAGCAGGTGGAGCTGTTTGGGAAGTTTATGGAACCTTTAGGAGGCAGAGTCTTTCTGAAGGAAGTATCTCATTGGGGGCAGGGCTTTGAGAATGCACCTTACTTTCTGTCCTTACTCTGCTCTGCTTCCTGAGTATGTGTACAATCTGGTCAGCCATTTTCCTTTTTAGCTCTTGCGACCATGTCTTCCTCACCATGATGGACTGGATCCCTCTGGAACCGTGAGACAAAAATCAACCTTTCTCCCAAAAGTTGCTTTTCCTCAGAGTATTTTTATCTCAGCAACAGAAATGAAACAAAAAATCCAGTCAAGCGTTGATCTGGTACCGTGCCAAGGAGACTACACAGATGCAGTGTCAGCCAACCACCCATCTATCTTAGGATGTGGAGATGATCCAGGAGAGCCAGACCCATCAAATGGGGCCCTCAAAAGCAGAGCGTCCCTTCCAGCCAGTGGTAGGAGGGCGTTAGAGAAGTCTGAGGGTGAGGACCACTTGACAGAGTGATGCCGGCTTTGAAGATGGGTTGACTCATGCGCCATGGAAAGTGGATGGAGCCTTTAGGATCCAGGAACCCTTCATGATGAACACAGGCCACTAGGCACCCAGTCTAACCGTAGAAACTGATCACTCCCAACCCCTTAACCAACCTGACTGTCTGGATGTCAGTTCTTCCCCCAACAGCTTCAGGCCAGGGCCCAGCTGACATCTTGATTTCAGCTTCCTCGTCTCTATGCGGAACTCCCCATGGGAGCCTGGTTGGACCGTGACTCACAGAACGGCAAGGAAGCCAATGAATGGTGTTTTTTAAACTGTGAGGTCTGTGGACATTTTGTTACACCACAAAGGAAAAAGAGTAACCCAGATATTGTTACCCACTTTTGGAGTGCAGCTGTAACACCTCAGGGAAGGGAGTCTTTGGAAGCAGACAGTGGGCGGAGGAGGGTGGAAGTATCTGGAGGAGCACAGTGGCCTTTGGCAGACTTTTTGTAGACTCATGGGTGGTGAAGGTGTGGACAGTGAGCCTGACTGCATGGAGCGTTGTGGGAAAGCTCCCATCACCTGGTTGGAAATAGAAATCGCCCTGAATAAGAGGGAACTTGGAAGATACCACTGGTGAGAGTGTGTGGGACGTGGATCCTCATTTGACCGCTGCAGAATGCCAGCGTGCCGTGCCCTGCAGTTATATGGAAAGCTGGCTGTGGAGCTGAGAGTTCCAGGCAAAGTGTTGAACGTGTGCCTCGGATTCTTCTTGATTTTACGGTTCAGTGCGAGAGGAGAGGTAAACAGGGTCAAGGGCTGTTAAACCAATGGTGTTGAAACAAATCGACTTTTCCAGATGACGAGTGATGGGAAAACTCAGACATGCTTTGACACATAGGCTCAGGATGCCACAAAGGCCTAGCACTGGACTCCCAAGTTCCTCTGAAACACGAAGCGCAGCAAAGTGACACCGCCTGTGTGATTGACACCTTCCTCCTGTCCCCTTGAACAAGGAGGTACACATTACCCCTGGAGAAAAATCAGCAGGGCCGGAATGGGAGCCAGGATATCAGGGGAACACCACTGAGACCAGAACACTATTGATAGCCTCTAAACTCCAAATCACCATTGAAACCAGAGCCTGTGTGCCAAACCAGTGCAGATTTAACTGAAGTGGAACCTGGTAGCATCAGCATTTTTTTTTTTTGTTTTTGTCTTTGTTCTTTTTTTGAATCATAATATACAAAACACGTGGATTGTAATATTGAAATCACTTGTTACCTGGAGGGGGTGGGTATTTGACACAGAATCATAAGTAGTCTCGGCAACATTGAGATTATAGGTAGTCTCAGCAAGGAGAAGAAACTAGAGAAAACCCCCAGTGAGTAGGCACAGGAAGGATAGCAGAATAAGGCCAATGGACTGAGGGATGGAAGATACAAATTGGTCTAAATAACACCCAAACTCAGCTAGGCAGAACATGAGGGACGTGTGGGACAATGACAAGATGTCTGAAATGCCTGGACCCAGACCTAGGGAGAGGACAACGAATGTGAGGCTGAGAGCTCATGATGAAAACGGACCGAATCTGGCAAAATACATAAGTCTGCAGAAGCATACATCCACGGAAACCACCAATGGGACAGACCTAAGAAATCTGCATGACAGCACATCACAGTGACAATTCTGAGATTTAAAGACAGAGGAGAGATCTGAAGCATGTCAGAGATTTAAAGACAAAAGAGAGATCTTAAACACGTCAGCTGATTAACACAGACCATCGTAGTGTGCCTCTGACTTGTTTAAGATAGTCTTTCAATTCAGTCTGTTTAGTTAATTCACATCACTAGCACAGATTACTGAGTGCTATCATTTGTGATAAAACACATCTAATCTAAAAGGCAGTCCAAAGAAAGTGTGGACATGTTATTGAATGTTGCTGATGTTGTTTGGGGGCCTGTGTGGATTTCTTCTCTAAGGGAGAGCAGCATGTGTCTGGAAATCCTGGGTAGCATGCATGCACCAAACAGATACTGTCTCTGGGATGTATTCTGAAAGGCTGAAAATAAAAAGATAAGTTTTTTTTTTTTAAATCGCTTGTTAGTTACTTTTCTTTTCTTTTCTTTTTTTTTTTTTTGAGACAGTCTCTCTGTGTAGCTTTGCACCTTTCCTGGAACTCACTCTGTAGCCCAGGCTGGCCTCAAACTCACAGAGATCCACCTGGCTCTGCATCCCGAGTGCTGGGATTAAAGGAGTGTGCCACCACTGCCCCAGTGTTAGTTACTTTTCTTGTTGCTGTGACCAACTCTATGATGGAAGCAACCTGGTGAGGAAAGGGTTGTTTTCATTCACGATGGGGAAGGTGTGACAGTGGCAGCAGGGGGCTGCTTGTTCACAGCAAGGGAAATCAGGAAGCAGTGGGGACGGACAGTGAGGATGTGCTGGAAATATTAAGGCTTGTCCTCTGGGATCTTGCTTCCTCCAGCTAGGTTCTGGGGCTTCACTACCTCCCAAACCTGCTCAGGACAAAGTATTCAGACACACAAGCCTGTGCAGGACATTTCACATTCCATCATAGCAAGTATGCCTCTCTGTTTTTTAATGCTGCATCCTTTTGTCCCCCCAAAACCATTTTTTTCTTATCAGTAAAGATAAGTTGCCACCTCTTTGGGGACCTGGAATTGCTCTAAGGCAGTTCTGGAGAGTTTTTTATATACTTTCCTATATTGTTCTCAGACTTTTAAGGGGACAGCAAATTGTTTCAGAAATCAAAGGCAGTTGGGTTCAAATCTGTAGTTAGCAGTTGACTGGGCCCACTTGGTGAGTGCTGTGAAGCTTGGTTTGTCCACAGCCACCGTGAGGAAGGATGGAATGGACCTAGAAAAGGAGAGGGCACATGAAGGGGCAGGTTGCTTGGCCTTAGCCTCGCCTCTGCAGATGACCAGTTTCTGGCCTTGATTAAGAGCCTCTGATCTCCCCATCTTGGTTTCCTTATCAGTAACATTAGGACAAGAGTTAAACCTCAGTCTCCAGGTTCTGGGAAAGTTGAAGGAACTAAGTATGTGTAGCCACTGTGATGTCTGTCTGTCTGTCTGTCATGGGAGGCAGAGCTCATGGTAGGCTAACTCAATGCACAGGGATGTCGGCTGTCACTCTGGGAGAACAGGCTGTGGTCTCTCTGACTCCGCATGGCAGGGGTTGTGGTTACTGCTCTGCGCTTCCTGGCACGGTCTCCATCCACAGAGCAGCCGGCAGCCAGCACAACCCTCCCCTGGGAGGTCACAGGGCAAGTTCTTCTCAAAGGGAAGGCTCTAGAATTGAAGAGACAGAGAAGATTTCTCTGGGAGAGCTGTTGAGAATTAGGGGTCAGGAGAAAATGGAAGGAGGGGAAGAGGAATCGAGAGAAAGAGATAAATGAATGGATGAATTCATTTGTTCACTGGATGAATTCATTTGTTCACTGGATGAATTCATTTGTTCACTGGATGAATTCATTTGTTCACTGGGTGAATTCATTTGTTCATTGGATGAGTGGATGGATGAGTGGATGGATCAATGGATGAGGAGACCTAGTAGGAGAAAACCCGCCGCATTTCCTCCGACAGTCAGGCCGTGTCAAGGGCAGGCAAGGTTTCCCCGCTAAGGAGGAGGCTTGATTTCGTTTTGCTCTGTCTGTGCTCCAGGCCCACCCGGGAGAGTGATGATGAGGAAGATGAGGAGAAGAAGGGGCGAGGGTGCACTCTGCAGTACCAGCATGCCCTGGTGCGGGTTCTCACTCAGTTTGTAACTGAGTCACCTGACCTGGGTCAGCTGACCTACATGCTGGGCCCCGACTGGCAGTTTGACATCACCGACCTTGTGACCGAGTTTGTGAAGGTGGAGGAACCGAAAATTGCCGAGTTACAGGATGGCAGGATCCTGGCAGGGCGGGAGCCGGGCATCACTACTGTGCAGGTATCGTGGGGTGGGATGGGTGTGTGTGTGGGTCTTTGTCACTTTCTCCTTAACATCCGTGGTTCCCCAGTTAACTGTCCCCAGTACAGCTCTGTGCACGCATCGCATGTGTGCACGTCACACACCAGCGTGCATCAACTTACACATGTTTAGCCTGTGTGCAGGTGGGTCAGTTGACCAGTTTTATAGCCCCAAACTCAGAGAACATGGGCAAGGAAGCAGTATTTCCCCGACGTGACAGGGCTAATGCACGTATGACCTCACAGTGATTAGAGAGCATGCACAAGACCTGTGCCCACTCAAGCCAGACAGGATCCCAGCATGGAGCGGGTAGGCAGGCTTGAGGTCCAACCCTTAGCCGAGAAGCTATGGGCCCTTGATAGCTGCCGGGAGGAGAGTCTGTTTTCTCTAAGCATGTGGCCCCTGGTAGCTCAGTCACACTTCAGTGGAGATCACCTACCCAGTGATTTACAGCCAGTACAAATTAAACTTGGAATTTTTTTTAAACCAATAAAGAGGACATAAAGTTGGATTGAGTGGGGAAGTGGGTGGATCTGGGAGGATGGGGAGAGAGTGAATCTGATCAAAATATATCGCCTGAAATGATCAAGAAGTTATTTTAAATTAAAAAAAAATTCTCTTGGGTTTTTAGAGTATAGAAAAATATCTTCTTCATTAGAGAAAGCTAAATTAAAGATACAGTATCAGAAATTACCTTCTTCGAGATGAGAACTTTTAGATTTTTTAAACATTAATTTTCTTATTCATATTGGGATTGTGTGTATATGGGGGTGTGTATGCCACAGAGTGTGGGTCTTTGGAGGTCAGAGGACACCTTGTGTAGAGTTGGTTCTTCTGTTCCACCTTTATGTGGGTTCTGAGAATTGGACCCGGGTGACCAGGTTGGCAGAGCAAGCGCCCTCACCCACTGTGCCATCTTGCTAACCACAACACTTTCCTTTTTTGCAAAGTAGAGTAGATAGTAGTAAACCTCCTAAAAGCTGAACCCGCCCCCAGCCTTACCGTTTAACCATTGTCCATGTTACACCCAGAATAGGAGACAAAATGAAACTGAAAAAGTACAGTTTTCATAAGATAAAGAGGGGGCCGTAACTGAATAGTCTTTATTACCTTGTAACAAACACATTTTATTGCCAATTTTGGTAAGATCATTATGCAGATTTTTTTTTTTTTTTTTACTGATTTAAAATATTATCGATCATAGTTAAGCCATGTTTTAGGTGCTTCCAAGGTTTAACTTTGGGTGCAGTTGGCCAAAGCGTGTTATAGTCTGCATTTGTTTTCTATTTCTTCTTTTTCTTTTTTTGTTTTTTTTTGTTTTGTTTTGTTTTTGTTTTTTGAGGCAGGGTTTCTCTGTGTAGCTTTGCGCCTTTCCTGGAACTCACTCTGTAGCCCAGGTTGGCCTCGAACTCACAGAGATCCCACTTCCTCTGCTGGGATTAAAGGCGTGCGCCCGGCTTGTTTTCTATTTCCGCCTTACAAGACACCACACATTTACATCTGACACCACAGATTTACACCTTGCTTGACACTCATTTATTCAGTGATGTCTCTGTAGGCTGGGACACTAGGTGGGCTTGACTGGGCTCTATATGACACCCCAAGGCTGGCGTCAGTCAGGTCTCACTCACCTTCTTGGGAGATCTTCCCTCTTTCTGCTTCTAGCACTGAGGCCCCTGTCTCCTGGCTGCTGTCAGCCAGGAGCCCTGTGCATTCCTTCTCATGGAGTTCCCCCATTGTCAGTAGGGACTCTGAGGGTCCCTGACTTCTTTCTGTCACTAGCTGGGAGCACAGCCTCTCCCGCCCCACTCCAAAGAGCTCTGGTGACCACACATTTACATCCCCTGTGTGATTCAGCCCCATCTGGCTTTTGGGTGGCTATGTTGAGTGGCACTGAAGAATGAGTTCTCATCTTTTTTTCCCCCTACAAGTGTCAGGGGTGAGTGAAGGCAGGAAGTCTTCCGGGGGAATATTCTAGGAACAATTCCACCTACCAGGCATTAGCTCTTGGATTTAGTCCCCCACCCCCAGCTGCACACCGGAAGGTGTGTTAGGAGGAATAACTGCTTAGGAAATGCCACTCGAACTGGTTTATCCAGTGATGACCCAGTGGCCCATGCGGTAATCATTGGTGCTCGGTGACAAACATCTGCCCACTAGAAGGGATGTGCAGAGAGAGCTGGGCTGAATGCCACTTCCTCGGAGACTGTGCCACCAATCCAGCATGCTCAGAAACTGCTTAACAGCTGTTGAAAAAGCCTCACTTCTTTCATACCTATCACCAAGGTAGAAAAGTTCGATGTGGATTCTTAACCTCAACCCTCTTTTTCCTTAGAGTATAAATATATTCTAGTCATTGTCATGTAGGAATCAAGAGATGTGAACCAAGGCCATCCCTTTCAATCACCTTCAGCCTGTGCTATTGAACAACGACAGACCCGCGTAAACACCTGTCACTGTGTCCCTTTACCAGGACACTCGACGGGTCACTGATGGCTCTATCTGCTTGGGAGTTAAGGGGGGGTTCCCATGGGGGCAAAGTCACAAGCTTTCTACCTTGCCTTCTCAGGTCCTCTCGCCTCTCTCTGACTCCATCCTGGCTGAGAAGACAGTTATTGTCCTGGATGACCGTGTCACCATCACAGAGCTGGGTGTGCAACTGGTGGCTGGCCTGTCCCTTTCCCTGCAGCCTCACAAGGTAGACAAGAGGGCCATTGTCTCTACAGTGGCTGCTCAGGATGTGTTCCAAGCCCCACAGCAGGTGAGACTCCCAGGGCCTCGTGATCTGGGCATGAAGTTAGCCCTGCCTTCAGTTAATGACTCCTTGCATGGGAGGCTAGAAGAGTGTCACAGCCAGGCCTGGCAGCTCTTGAATCTCCTTTCTTCTTCTCCTTCTCCTTCTCCTCCTCCTCCTTTCCCTCTCCCTCCCCCTCCCCCTCCTCCTCCTTCTCCTCCTCCTCCTTCTTGGTTTTTGGAGACAGGGTTTCTCTGTGTAGTTTTGGTGCTCATTCTGGATCTCACTCTGTAGCCCAGGCTGGCCTCGAACTGACAGAGATCCACCTGCCTCTGCCTCCCGAGTGCTGGGATTAAAGGCTTATGCCACCACCACCCGGCTTCTCCTTGCTTCTTATCCAGTTTCTCTCTGTCTCTGAGGATGGCACTCAGGGCTTAGCTATATCTTCTGGTGTTCTTTGCTTTTCCGTGGGTTGATCTAGGCGAGGCATGGATTGCTACTAGACCATGATCAAGGGATCCCCTGTTCTCGCCCCTGCCAAACAGAAGGTGATTTTTTTGAGGCTTGGAGACTCCATTTCAGCTTCTTGAATAAGAATGGCTAATTCGTACCAGATTGTCCTATTGATAGCAGGGGTTGCCAATGCTAAAGCTCTCCCATGTTTTTAAACATGCACAAAACATTTATAAAGGAGATAGGGGCATGGTTCCATTTAAATCAGCCAGCTTCACACCACCTCATTTACCAAGAACTTCCTCCAAGTGAGGTTTTGCTGTGTCAGCACTGACTTCCTGATAAAGGGTGTTCAAAGTGACATCATCTTGAACGGTAACCTGATTAGTTACATCTGGAATTGATTCAGATAAATCTCCTGATCTTCCCGAGTTTCTACACAAAGGTCAAAGTCACACTCCATGGGAAGGCATGCAATCAATTAATTTACACTTTAATGTATCCATCAAAGTACATTCCTGGCACCTCATGTCAGTGGGACTATAGTACATTAATGATACAAGGTCAGGACATAACAAGAGCTAAGGCCATCACATACAGGAATTCACCTCTATCTGTAGATGCCAGTAATGCCCAAAGGAAATTGTGTTTGTAAGTTTGAAGGAACCTGGTTATAATACTGTGCTCTGGTTTCATTTTCCTTAGGAGGCCATAGTCAGTTCCTGGATTTTGTTCAGTGATGGCTCAGTGACGCCTTTAGACATTTACGATCCCAAGGATTTCTCAGTGACCGTTTCCTCCTTGGACGAAATGGTGGTATCCATCCAGCCAAACCCTCAGACCAGATGGCCAATCGTCGTTGCTGAGGGCGAAGGACAGGGTCCCCTGATCAAGCTAGAAATGTCGATCAGTGAATCTTGTCAGAAGAACAAGAGGAAGAGTACTCTCGCTGTGGGTAAAGGAAATGTCAAGGTCAGATTTGAACCTGGGATGCACGAGCACCGAGGAGGTGGCAATGATATCGAAGGCGTAAACCGGGAATACAAAGGCCACCTCAGCAATTCCATAGAGCGTGAGGGAAGCCAGGAGCGAGCAGCCCAGGAGTGGTTCCAACATGGCTCACCAGTTGGCCACGAGGACAGGACCAACAAAAGCACAACCCCACAGTCTCCTATGGGAGGAAAGCTACTCAAAGGTGGAGCAGATGCCTTCACAAGCTTCCCCACTCAGGGGAAGTTACCAGAATCCAATAACCCTGGTGACCTCACGATGACCTCCAGGGGGTTAACAGATTTGGAGATTGGCATGTACGCCCTGCTCTGTGTCTTCTGTCTGGCCATCTTGGTCTTCCTGATCAACTGCGTGGCCTTTGCTTGGAAGTATAGACACAAAAGGTTTGCAGTAAGTGAGCAAGGCAACATCCCCCATTCCCACGACTGGGTCTGGCTTGGGAATGAGGTAGAACTTCTGGAGAACCCCGTGGACATCACTCTCCCCTCGGAGGAGTGCACAACCATGATTGACAGGGGTCTGCAGTTCGAGGAGAGGAACTTCCTGCTGAATGGCAATTCCCAGAAGACTTTTCATAGTCAGCTGCTTAGGCCTCCTGACTATGTATATGAGAAAGAGCTGAAAAACGAACCTATGGGTTCCTCCGGCCCAAAGAGGAAGAGAGTCAAGTTTACTTCCTACACCACCATCCTCCCTGAGGATGGGGGCCCATACACCAACTCCATCTTGTTTGACAGCGATGACAGCATCAAGTGGGTCTGCCAGGATATGGGGCTGGGGGACTCACAGGACTTCAGAGACTATATGGAAAGACTACAGGACCAGATGTAAAGTCCTTTCTTAAGTTCGTATTCACCTTTATGCCTTCTGTTTTCTGAACGGTGGAGCAGTGAGTCTGATCAGCAATAGGGGGTGACTCAACAAAGTGTCAGGGTAGGGGGTCTGGAGGGATCCCTCTCTAAGTGGGTATCAGCCGTCTAGAGAGCTGGGTGATGTCTACAAAACAGTGGCTCCCAGGGATGGGAGACATTCAGAGGCAGCAGCCTAGCGGTAGACACGACCCCACAGACACTGTTGGTCACCTCATGACCAATGGCCGTGTGTAATGAGGGATGTTCCGGATGGTGATTTTTCTATTCCTAGCCCTTTTAAAGCACAGTGGACACTCATTGCGTGTGGCCTGAGTTCGGATCTCCATGGCGGAAGATGACTGAATGTAGCTTCCTTAGTTGTCAGGAGTGAGGCTCATTATTTTTATATACATTTGGACTCGCACTTGTTCTTTTGACCTTACATTTTTTGAGGGGGAGGGGTTGTTTCAGAAACACATAAAGAAGAATTATGTTGTTCCTATGAGTTTTGTTCACTGGGGCTCATCACATCCTGACATTTCTGAGTCTCCACACAGGATGTCATTTTTTTTTTTTAAAACTTTGTTGCTGGGGATGGTGTTTAAGCAGCATATTCTCATGCTTTGTCTCCTTCTTCTTGCCATTGGACTTTGTTATCTATCTCGGCAACAGGGATCTCACTGGAGACCCAGAAGAGAGATTTTTTTCTTTTTACAATCATTTTCCACATGAAGTTTAACCAATTTGGAGAAAAGTTGTGTCACAAGCATCTGTTTTCATTGTCTGCTTGTTAGTTATTTGCAGATCTCCTGGGGGTAGAGTTCTGAGGGCAGAGAGACTCCAACATCACAGTAGGGATATAAGTCCTTTGTGCTCAACACAGTGTATTATTCAAAGTAAAATAAAAAGCAGGATTGAAGGGCTGGAGAGATGGCTTGGTGGTTAAGAGCACTTGCTACTCTTGTGTAGGACCTGGAGGTCAGATCACAGCACCCACGTGGTGGCTCACAAACCTTCTGTAACTCTAGGGCCATGGGATCTGATACCCTCTTCTGGACTCAGTGGGTACTGCACTCATGTGCGCATACACAGACACACATACACATAACTAGAAAAAACAACTCTTTTAAAAAGCAGGATTGATCTACACAGAAAAGGAATGAAGAAACAGCTTCACATTCAACTTTCCACTTTGCATATTTAAAAAAAACATCGATGTTTCAAGTTAGCAATATATAGAAGTCATCCATACAATGACTGAAAAAAAAAAAACAGAACCCTCAATTGTCACTTGGACAGAGAAGAAACCATCTCAGGCACCTTTTGGTAGAGAAAGCAATGGTTTCTCCAAATCCATAACTATAAATGAATGTCCCAGAGCCCAGGAGTCAGCTGTTACAAAAAAACTATGGTATTCAGTCAAAGTTGCAAGAGAAAAAAGATTTTTTTGCATAATTTTAAATAAAAGTGCTCTTTACAAGCATCATGAACAGCTTCAAGGAAGGCAGAGATCTTTGGATTGGCAAAATGTGACATTTTTGTTTATCACGATGATGTAACTAGAAACCCAGGCACTTGACTAGTATGCCACATTGTGAACTAACCGAGTCATTGTCAGCTCCCTAAAATGGGATTTTAAAAGGTCCAAAGCAGGAAGCACATGCAGGGGGTCACTGATGTCCAAGGGCTGATATCTGAGCCTCTCAGAGGAGACGTTTTCTTATTCCTCTGCTCTCATTTTGTGTATGTCCAGGCTGGAAACAAGGCAGCTGGCCCTCCTGTAGCCATGACGGGACAGCTAAGACATTCTCCCTGCCTCTCCCACGCCCAGCATTGCAGTGTGTTTACAAACAGGGTTGGGCATGTAGGTCTCAGACTTCAACCTCCAGAACTACGATTCACTTGCTTCTGTGTTTAGAATGACTTCTAAGAACTGGAGCTACCGGGGTTCTCAAAACCTTCCATCAGAGACTGAAGCCAGGAGATGAAGGTGTTGCATAACCTTGGCTGACATCTGCTGCTGCTAAGAGGTCTCTAGTTAGCTGGCTGCTTCTGGAAAGGTTGGACTGGGAGCAGGTAGCCCCACACCACCTGTGCAGGACAGCAAAGTTGCAGATAAGTGTGGCTCCTTTCATGAGCCATTTAAAAATCCTATCTCCCATCACAGAAATAATGGGAATCGATAGTGAGGCACCTGTCTGGAGACAAGGGCACACAAAGCAGGCTGCCTCCTATTGTTTAGGTGAGGCCCTGGGCTTGCCTATATAGCTTAGCAGGAAATTCCTAAGGGCAGCATAAGTAAGTGATTGACAGGCTTGAAGTGGGCGGGGAGGAGCTGACCACGGTGCTGAAGATGCCTCCATGGGCCTCTTAGATACACTCAGTAAATTCGCCTCAGTGCACATTTTACCGTATCTTTGTGTTAGGACACCGTCAGTTCAAAACAAAGTCAAGTGGCAGGTTCTGAGGGAAATGACATTTTTTAAACATGTGACACACAGTTATATACATACATACGCACTAGTGTCCGCATCTGTGTGTGTGTGTGTGTGTGTGTGTGTGTGTGTGTGTGTGTGCATACCAAGGAGTTACAGACTCAGTCAGTTGGTAGGAATCAACAGAACCTGCCCGTCATTCTTAGATTTGGTTTGGACAGGATTCAGCATCTCAGTGTCATGGAAGCATCTTATGCTCTAAATATCTCATGCAGATCATACACTGTGGCTATCTCACCTGAGTTTTCCATCAAGTCAGCTATGATGTTTGTGCTAGCTCCTAAAACACCTGAACTAGAATGGGGGAGATTGCATAAACCATCAAGCCTTAAAATCCATGCAGTTGCCTGGACTTCAGTTTTCACGGCTGAGAGATCCAAATTATAACTTGATATATTTATTTCATATATATATATATTTATGATTATTTAACCTGATCCAGACACACATTATCAAGTCCCTTGCTCTGCCGCCAGAGTGATGTTTATGCTCAGATTCATCCTGAGGGATTCGGGAGATAGTGGCAGGCTATAAGCTCTTTGGCCACACAGAGATTGAGACATGTGATGGACACCTGGTAGTGTGACCCAGGACATTCAAAGACAATGATGCCACTGTCTTCAGAATTTGCATGTGGTACTTTTGGGGTCAAGGAATAGGGACTCAAGAGGCAGGTGGCCACACCAAAGAACTGGAGCTGAACGGTAGGTGTGCTAGATCTGAGAGACTCACAGGTACAATGGGAGCTTTGGCCAGAGAGCAACATCTAACTAATATTAGAAAACTGTCTGCATGGTACACTGGCCAGGGCACATTCCCAGACTATGGCAGTTCTGAGCTGTCTAGGCAGAACATTTCTATTTATAGACACAAATACAGCCAAGACATGCATTGATTTTATTTTACCCCTTGGCCACACCTATGGGTGGAAGTATTTTGTAACTCACTTATTTAAGGTTTAGGAAGCCATGTTTGGTATTCTGATCAACATTTTTTTGTTTACTCTTATCAGGGCTGGAGAGAGAGAGAGAGAGCTCAGTTGGTAAAGTTTGCTGCACAAGTCTGAGGGCTGGAATCCGACCCTCCAGCACCCACATAATAATCCAGGCATGTTGGTATATGCTTATAATCCCAGCATGGGGGAGGTGGGGACAGACAAGCACCTGAGACTTCCTTTCCAGCCAGCCTTGCCTAATAGGCAAGTTCCAGATCCCAGTCAGAGACCCTGTCTCAACATGAAGGTAGATGATGCCTGAGGAATGTCGTCTGAGATTGACTTCTGGTCTACACACATGCTTCCATGCATTCATGCACACACACACACAGAGAGAGAGAGAGAGAGAGAGAGAGAGAGAGAGAGAGAGAGAGAGAGAGAGAGAGAGGGAGAGAAAGGGTGTTGAGACCACAATGAAGCTGTGTCCATCAGTGAGGAGTCCCCTGGTCCCCAAACAGTGACCACAGGCAGTGATTCCAAGTCCTATCTTCATCCCATTGGGTTTTCTACTCTGGTCATCTAAAGAGAGTCACATTTCTCCATTCAGGTCTTTGTAAATGACACCATAGATGGTTTATGAATTGCACCTTTCTTCTCCATCAAAACCGTATCCGTATAATGTAATGCATCTCATCTGTCATGTAGAGGGTGGATGGTGGGACAAAGTTTTGCTGAAATACAGACAGCAGATATTTTTGTATGTAATATAGGCAATATAATGAAACTGTGAATGGTGTACTGGAATAAATACATTTAAAAATAAAAGCATGTGAAACAGCTTTTAAGTGTACAGACATCCAGCTCAACCATATTTAAGTGGATGACGGGAAAAGCATCGGGGTCTGACATTGAAAAATACACCCAATTAGGAATTCTGACCTGGAAAGGACATTGTGGCTCATGCTGGGATTGTTGGTGAAATCTTCCAGAACATTTTGATCTTACTCTTCATTACATTCTGAATTTTTTCCTCCCTCCCCAACTGGAAATATTTCAGAAATAAAATGACTTCATTTTTCAGCATAAAGGTATATTCTAACCACAGGGTAACTCATCATTTTTAACATGGAAATAAACATTTGAACATTCTTCAATGGTTGTGTTATTTTGATTGTGTGCTTTCTATTGAGTTTTAGTACTCATGCCATGGGTTATATTTATAGATTTTTAAAAAAAATTTATTCTTTTCAGTCAGGGAGTTTAACAGTCTTGATACAGCACTACATGGACATGAAAAGAAAATGTTGCCTAGGAGTTATAGAAAGCCTTTACTTAAAAAATGATTTAAAAAGTATATTTGTGTGTGTGTGTGTGTGTGTGTGTGTGTGTGTGTGTGTGTGTATTATGCACATGAGTATTGTACCTATGGAGGCCAGATGAGGGCATCAGATACCCTGGAGCTAGCATTACAGGCAGTTGTGAGCCACCCAAAGTAATGTCAGCAAGGGCTGAAAGTGCTCTTAACTGCTAGGCCATCTCTCTCTAAACCTTTGTCTAAAAAACAAAGCAAAACTCCAAACCTAAAAATGTTCTAGAACTTGAGAGATGTGCTGGTTTCTCTGTATTGGTGGGGATCGTTCCTTCAGACTACAGCCAGCTCTTCCAAAGTGAGCTATTTGTTGTCTGAGGGCCATGAGAATCTTGAAACTACCCCCCATTTCCTTCAGGATGAATGAGGACGTCTCCTGGTAATGCCTTGGCAATGCCTCATGCTACATCTGATCTTTTATCGGGCCCTGAAGACATCAGTTAAGAAACTGGGTACAGACGCTGGCTTCTGGAGAGTCGGAATTGCTTTCTTGCTTCTAAAATACTGGCAGCAAATGAGCCCCAGAGCTCTCTCAGGTACACAGGTCCATTTGGGGTAATTGCTTCCCACTAACAGCTTTCCAGGAGGGGTGAATCACAGAACAGTGTGCTACTCAGACCTCAGAGTAGACGTACTCCATTTGGTAAAAATCTTCCCCAAATTGAAAAGGAAGGAAGCAGGAAATGAGATGGATCAAAGGGAGGTCCTTTAGGTTTAGATTTTTTTTTTAATGTATGAGGGCAAAATACAAATACTGTTTTTCTGATTCTTTTGGTGTCAGAATCTTTGGTGGCTGCTCATTTCTTGATGGCTTTGTCCAATTATGACAGGTGATGCAGCATTCTTGCTTTGCTTTTTAGATATTTCTAGAAGGAAAACAGGAGCACAGGGATATCCTACCTGGCCTCTGGCATTTATAGACTTCTCTGTGACTCCAGCAGACAGGAAACTACCACTTCCTAGACAGAAAATAATGATTCCCTTAGGGAAGTCGTCTTCCCCAGTTCAAAGACGCAGTCATGGTATCAACTTCCAGCACCGGGCAGTTTTCATGTTTGATGAAACATCTCTAATATGTCTTGGGCTTTTGCTGTGGTTCTTGGTGGGTTGTGAGATACAACTTCATCATTTCCTGTTGAGGACTGAACTATCCTTAGACACAGGAGCTCAAGGAGGGCAAATTTTCAGATATCATAATAAAGTGCTTTGTAAGCACACAGGTGGATACTGTTTCAGAATAGTGGGGTTGGTTAATGGTGATTTTCTGCCCATTTGACAATACTACATTTGCAGCTCATTATCTTTGGGATGTTTGGTTACAGTGCCTCGGAGGAGATGGACAAGATCCCGGGAGGATTTGCATATAATTTACACATACCCTTCTGCGTGTTTGTGACCGCCTCTGCGTTACTTACTCTATCTGATAGAATGTCTGTGCACTATCAATAGTTGTTATACTGTCTTGTTTGGTGTGAAAAAAAGTCTATGTTCTTTGTACAGACATCTTCTTTCTGACTATGTCTAATCTGTGCCTGGTTGAATACATGGATCTGGACTCTGGATGCTGAGGACCCATGGTGGCTTAACTTGTCTTTTGATCTGATGTTTCTCCTTCATTCTTCCAATTTCCTCTGGCTGGCAGAACCCATGGTACCTTGTCTTTTCCACTCAGAAATCACCTGTTCCTTTAATGTGGCTTTCTCCAGTGGAAGCTGACCCTCAGAATGCAGTGACGTGGACAGCAGAGATACAGAGCTCAGGCTGTGTGCTTCCCTTTGGGGTACTTCCTTGGGCATGTGTTTTCCTTCCCCATCACAGCCACCTGTGAGTCTCCATCATATCCATGTGAATTCCAATGCAGTTGCCATAGCCTCATTCTGTTGCTGTGATAAGACATCCTGACAAACAAACAAACAAACAAAAAACCAATGTGGGGAAGAAAAGGGTTAATTTTTAGCTCACCAGCCCAGGTTATAGTCTGTCATTGTGGGGAAGTCAAGGCAGGAACCTGAAGCAGCTGTTACATCCACAGTCAAAAGCAGAGAGAAGTTGAATGCGTGCATGCTTAGTACCCAGCTCACCCTTTCCACTCTTAGAGTCCAGGACCTCAACCTAGGGAATGACGTCACCCACAGTAGCTTAGGTCTTCCCACATTCTTTATATAGACTGCCAGCAGAAGGTGTGGCCCAGATTAAAGGTGGATCTCCCCACCTCCAAAGATCTGAATTAAAGGTGTATCTTCCCACCTTAAAGATAGTGATTCAAGGTGGGTCTTCACACTTTAAATGATGTAATTAAGAAAAAAAATCCCTCACAGGTGTACCCAGCCACTTGGGTTTCAGATAATTCTAGATGTAGTCAAGTTGGCAACCAAGAATAGCCATGACACCAGGTAATAGTCTGGACATTCCACACACACACACACACACACACACACACACACACACACACACACACACACACACACACACACAGTTGTGAGGTTAAAGGGATGTCAAAGCTATGGAACAAGAATGAGAGCTGAGGAGGTCACTCAGTTGGTCCAATGCCTGTCACACAAGCATGAGGACTTGAGTTCAGATCCCCAGCACTCACATAAAGAGCCAAGAGTCTTAATGCTCACCCCAAACCCTAGTGCTGGGGAGGCAGAGTGTATTAATCAGTGTTCTCTAGAGTAACATAACTTATAGAATGAATCTCTCTATATGAAGAGGGTATGTTGGAATGACTTACAAACTGCAGTTCAGCTAATCCAACAATGGCTGGCTGTGAATTCGAAGTTCAAGAATCCCATAGTTGCTCAGTCCACAAGGCTGGATGTCTCAGTTGGTCTACTGTAGTATATGCTGGAGTCCCAAAGAAGTAGGCTCTAATTCCAACAAAGGAATGGGTGTGCTAGCAAAATGAGGGCAAGCAGGCAAAGAGCAAAAACTTCCTCCTTCTATGTCCTTATATAATATGTAGACTTCCAGCAGAAGGTACGAGCCATCTCAAGATCTGGATTAAAGGCTTCAAAGGTCTGGACTAGAAGTGGATTCATTGACTTCAAACCAAGCCAAAAAAAAAAAAAAAATCTCTCACAGGTGTGTCTGCCTCCATTTCTGAATTGTAGTTCATTCCAGATGTAGTCAAGTTGACAACCAAGAATAGCCCTCGCACAAGGCCAGGAGGATCCCTGAGGTTCAATGACCACTCTGTATTGCTGCATCAGTGAGCCCCAGGTTCTGTGAGAGACCCTGCCTCAGAAAAACATGGCTGTGAGTGATAGAGGAAGACAACTGGCATTGACTTCTAGCCTCATGGGTGCTCTCACATCCATGTGTGTATTCACACACATGAGAACATATGTATTTCATACGCCTCACCCACAATAGATTTTAAAATGAGAAAGATGAGTAAGAATTAAGTAAACAGAGAAACAATCAATCCAGGCCAGGTGGCTCAAGTCTGTCATCCCAGTAACTTAGGAAGCTAAGACAGAAAGACCTCAGGTTCAAGGTCCTGGGCAACTAAGTGAGAATCTGCCTCAACATAGAAGTTAAAGATAGTGCTGGAGACATAGCTCAGTGATAGAATGCTTATAGCCCTGAGTTAAATTCCCAGCACAGGAAAGAGAAAGATGAGGGAGAAAGGAAGAAATGATTAAGCCCATAGGGAAGGAAGGGACTGAGAGACAGTCACATACTGAGTCACATCTAGCTGATGCCCTTTTCTTTGGAAATTGAGGGTTACAACGCTGCTTGCTTATAATGCCTGTATAAAGGACTTGATGTCTTGGATTTAAGTCTATGCCCCAACCATCAGTTCCCAGCCTCAGACTCTTCTTAGGCTGAAGTATCAGGTATGGACTCTGCAGAATATAGAGAACAGTCAAATCTACACAGCCAAGCTAGTGTGTCTGTTGGGGCAGCTTTGGGGCAGCACACAGTAGGGCCAGATTTTTGTCTAGAATTTGGGAAGACGAGTGTCATTCCTTACTTCTCATTGTTATCAATTGGACTTTAGTTCCTTGGTGAACACAAGCTGTTATGAGTAGGACACCCTGTTATAGCATTTGTGTGTGTATGTGTGTGTGTGTGTGTGTGTGTGTGTGTGTGTGTGTACATGCCATGTGTGTGCAAGTGCCTGTGGGACGAGAATTGGATGTCAAATCTCTGGAGCTGGAGTTCCAGATGGTTATGAACCACCCATAAGGGTATTTATCTGGCTTAGCATGTGCTTTCTTCTGTAAGAGGGATATTTGCTGCAGTAGGCACATTGTGTGGCTGCTCAGTGTTTACTCACAATGAGTTCATCAATACACAGCCTGGGTTCACACATACTCAGAAGTTTTGCATCTGCCTTGTCTGAATGTATGGAGTCAATTCATTGGTGGTAATGATGATTCCTCGTGGTGCCTTTGTTTATGAGCTTATGGAAAGTACTATTCTCTACACGTCATTAATTTTGCCTCAGGCACTTCGTTGGCACCTTCCATCTGGAAATGATGATAGTGATCGTGGTGATGATGATGATGGCGGCGATGGCGGCGATGATGGTGGTGGTGATAATGGTGCTGCTGGTGGTGCTGGTGGTGGTGGTGGTGGTGGTGATGATGATGATGGTCATAATGCTGATGATGGCATTGAGGAGGATGGTAATAATGGTGATGGTGATAATGGTAGTGATAGCAGTGATGTTGCTGGTGGTGTGTGTGTGTACTCTTTGTCCCAATAAATATCAGTAATTTTTTTGAAGCAGAATCTCCATGTGTAGCCTAAACTGTCCTAGAACCATAAT